AAACCCCTAATTTTCCCATTTTTGTTACCACTTAAGTTTATATTATGATACGCATAGTCCGTTTTGATCATGACACCATAATTTTCAAGTTCATTGGCCTATTTGAATTGGTGGGGTGTTTTTATTGGACATTAATTTTTATTGCTTTGTGATCCTATTTTGGTTGAAGATTTGAAAATACATATATTTGTTTTTGACATTTTGAACCCACTAAATAATATTTAAGTATACAAAATGTCAACAAATGTGAACTACTTTGGTCTTTTCCCTCTTGGACTTAGTGTTCCCAAAAGATGGACAATTAAATAAACAGAAAAAAAAAAAGTAAAATGTGAGAAAAAGTATAAAGACACTTTCCGCCATTTAATGGCCTTCTTTCTTATGATTTACAATAATTCTCCCTTTAATTTGTCCTTTAACCTATGCTTTTCCCCACTTTTAATAGTTGCTTTTTCCCCCTTGATATCGACATTTCAAGTTGATAGCGTTTTAAAAAAAAATATAATATGATGCAATAATTAAAATTATTTAAATTTAAGTTTTGGATTGAACAATTCTTTTATGAAAAGCATTTTTCTTCGAATGAAGCTTGCAAATCTGATATAATCATATTTTTAATAAATATCGAACATCGAATATTCTTTTTTTAAAAAAGGACAAATAATGATAGTCAAATTAAGTTTAGGTAGATTATCAGTCTGCTTATTTGTTCTATTTTGATATACATAAATTAGGTCATTCTAAATTCATCTGCAGTCTTAATTAAAAGCGGACCTACCATAAATTTAGAGGGTTATTGACAATATAAATAATAATTTTAATAGCTATTGTAGTTTAAATTTTTATGTTATATGGCTTAATGAATTAATACATTTGATCTTCATTTAATTAAATATATAATTTTAGTCTTAAAGTTAATGGATATTAAAATCTTTTGATTAAGAACACATAGTGTTTGATAGATTTTACACAAGTAAAAAGTTGGAGGCAAAATAATGCAATATCATTGTTAAATAGACGTGTGCTCAAATTAATTTATTTTTATACTTTGAGGGTGAAGTACGAGCATGCACAATCAATTGTAAAGCCAATAACAATTTTTCTTAAACACAAACACCATAAAACAGAGAAATATATTGTCACAGTAAAGATGTAAGATATTCATAATATATATATATATATATATATATATATATATATATATATAT